ACTCATTTATTACAATTAAAATTCGATCATTTTTCGTATTGTTGAGTACCTTCATGCAGACCGTTTTATACATATCGGATTTGGATTGTGAAAATAGATATTTKTACATTGTACATAACAATATGTACGTTGTCTACGATGTAAATAATATATATGATAATAACGTGTATAAGTGTAATGGGACTTGTGTAATAACGAATGTAATAACGTTATACACTTATGTATACTTACTTATAGACGATGACTATATTTGATGATAATGTAATCGTTGTTATAATTTTATATTATTAAAGATAARCTTACAGCAGTAAGCTGTAACTATTTTTAGTTAACTAAACATGCCGTTTTGGAAATTAATAAATCACAAGGTAATATTATTTAAATCGTTACCTATATCATATTAATAATTATATAATATGTGACGGATTACTTGAAGCACACATTTTGAACGATACACGTTATAGGGTGAAATCGTGAAGATTTTATTTTATTTTTATTTATACAAGTACTGAAGTGTCTGAAGTAGGTACATAAAAATAACATTAAATTGGTTAGGGTCAAAAAGTATTTAAACTGTAACTGTTGCACCTATAGGTAATCCTAACTTCTAAAGGTAAAAGGGATAAATATCGTATCTTATGCTATAAAACTTTGGTTTTCTTTTCTATCAATCAACATCAACACAATATGCAATTATGTATTATATATACACATATTGACTTGGGAGGCTTTCGAGAAATTAAAAATTATAAGTATAATATAATAACTAAATAAATATAATACATGTTCCGCAAATAGAAGAAAGGCTCAACTTCCAAAATCTTAACAAACCCTCCAAAAACAATACTGTGTATACGTCTTAATACGTCTTTCCTGACTTCAGTATAAACATGTTAGTATAATGATATGACTAACACCCCTCCACCTTGAAAATTTCGCAATATGTACTACTATGTTTAATATATTAATGTTATAATGTTAGGACAACATTGTTAAATCAATTTAAATTCAAAAGTAAAAAAATAAAAATAAATAAAAATAAAAACTTAATAAATTCAGGGGGATCTTACTAGTTACTGGGTAAGACACTTATTATTTTTAAAAGTTTTAACTTTTTTTACTATTTTATTTTTTGGTATTATTTTTAACTATTGAAATTAATGAAGTCTACAAATAATTAATATTCCAAAAATGTTTACATTCTTATATGATAATTATAAATTAACTTTGAATTTTTAAWTGATAACACCTACAGTTAATACTAACAAATTATAAATCTATTTTTTTATGAATTTTTTATTTTGAATAAATATATTTTAAGACATAGCCAATTCAAAATACTATATATTGGAGAAGCTTATTGTGTTTGATTACACTTGTACTTATTTATTTTMATTTTTCGTTCAATCATACAAATCAATAAACTTTGAATCTGCAGAGTAATCAGGACTGCTTATAAATACTTATTAGTTATCAGTTATCACATTACACACATAGATATTAAATAATAAAGACATGGATAGGACATAATAACACAACGTCTAATCGTCTTATTTTATCATTTATTATTAGTATGAAAATAAATATTTATAATAGATACCTACTATATGGTCTATGGTCATCTACTAACTTTGACAAAATATGTTAACTCCTATTATAGTTTTTACAAAACRAAAAATACCTACAATAGCACCAACAAAAAAAATTCAAGTTAGAGTCCCTCACTTTTCTGTATAAATTACTATGTTGGTGAAACGATACAGGAACGGGTGGAAATACTGTGATAACCAGTTCCCACCCGTTCTTGGTTTTTGAACAGGGGTAAAAAAGGTTCTGACCAAATTTCTATCGAGATCAATCTATACATGAAACTATATCATAATATTATTACAATGATATTATTCGTATCCACTTTCAGATAAAAAACCCCATCGATAATATAAAAAATTTCAAGTAGCAAAAAACGATTTTTGTTATTATTTTCCATATATTTTCMAAATATAAAACACTATTCGAATCAGATGAAATTACAATCATTCACACCGCGTACAACGACAGTCATCATAGTTTGGTGTCCTGAGACACCAGTTCGTAAGTATCGTTCTTGTTGTTGGCGGTCCTACCATTCGGCACCTTCTCGGCCATGTACTTGGGATACACAAAGTTCCGTATAAAGGGCGTCAACAGTCTGGGGTCAATGTTCTGCTCCATGGGGAACAACAGGCTGACAGCAAGTCCGACGGCGATCCCGACCAAAGTACCGACGGCACTGTAGTACATGTATGAAATCATATAAATTGTCGACACGTTTGGACTCGCATACACTTCTTCGTTCACCCGGATTAAACTATCATAAAAACACGAAAAAATAATATATATAATGGCTTAAAATAAACAAGGATCTTTCAAGCACTTCTAAAAAGTTTATTAAGTTAATGTTCTTTCATCTATTAAAAAAGGTATAACCTGTTATGTCTAATACTAGAAATATTTTTATAATTCATAGCCCATGTGCACAAAAATTGTATTTGTGATTTTTAATTTATAAAATTGTAAAAGTAAATCTATTACAGAGATTATTGTTATCAATAACTATAGTTAAATATACATCATGAATTAGTATTTAATTGCTTTTTTAAATATCATTTACATTCAACACGAAATCAATTATCTGTGTTGCGAATTGTTTGATATTATCTTGAATAAATGTAATTTTTTTCTGATTTACTGATATGTTTTTAKGTATTTTCTAAGAAGATTGAATTGAAAATATTATGTATCAAAATTAATTTTAAATATTATTAAACATAATAGATCTTCGATAATCTGTCTGCCTGTTTTAATAACACGTATTTACCCTGAAAAATCTGTATGATTTGTAAACGTTGTGTTGGCCGGACATCCGGCTATTGAAAGGTCCTTTTCTACGAACTTCAATTCCTTGTTGTATATGGTGAACTGAGCTCCAGCAACTATCCAAGCCATGACAGCTAAGCTGGATAACATCCCACAYACGGCGCCCTGTATACACAAATGTAATAGGATAAGTGTGTAAATAGTGTTATATTATGCTGTAATTGCAGACGTGTTATTATTCTATATACGTAAAAGAAAATTTATATTCAACCAACTAACGCGTAAACCTTACTATCACATTTATTTATATTTTGTTATTTTAAATACCTCGTAATCAGTTCGGATTAACCATTTAAAGCAGACTTACTCTAGAGTTTGCCCACGGAAAACAAATCCCCAACGTGAAYACTGACAGTAATGATCCATAAGTCACTCCGCCCAGACTTATTGATAACTATAATACATTAACCATATAATTTTATTTTTTATTTCAATTAGTAGTGATCACAGTTAAGACTTACTTGAAAAATTCCGCTCATTTTTTCGACTACAAAAACCAATATCACGCATATGAATCCGCAGATCAGTGCGGTGCACTTCATGATAATACTGGCCGTCAAATCAGACACTTTTATGCCCATCATTTTCACTATAAAATCTTCGTAAATCGTACCAGACACAGTGTTTATTTGCGCTGACATTGTACTATAGAATTAACGTATATTGTAGTTGAGCGTGTAAGAAATCAGAATAGACCAACAATTAATATAGATACTATACAGCAATATAGGATGTCCCGCGAGGATTTACCCATTGCGAGATCTCACGAAATAATGTARATATCAAAATTCTGGGTTGGTAATGAGACTCACGGGAATAGAACTAACGTTTTTATTTATTTTAATGTTTTGGTAAACCCTTGGTMAAAAATTTTAAAAATATATTTTTTTATTTCATTATTTCAAAAAAAAAAATATAGCCATTTCGAAGAATTTATTTTTTTGAAAATAAAAACATTTCAAAATTGTATTTCCATTAATTTCTTGATTTTTAATATTTTTTCCAGTTTTAAAGAAATAAAATATGTATGCCGTTCGAGCACGTTCTATTATTTCTCGAATCTAAAAAAATTTTAAATAAAGAAATTAATGAAAACAAAATGTTGAATCGTCAATATTTTCAAAAAAATAAACTCTACAAAGTGACCATAATGATTTTTTTTGGAAATAATGAAATAAAAAAATATATTTTTGAACTTTTTTAACAAAACACTAAAATAAATTAGAATATAAAGTAATTGTATAGTTCATATCCCTATGAGTCTTATTATAAAACTAGAATTTTTATATCTCCATTATTTTGGGAGATATCACAATGAGTAAATCCTCGACGAACACCTGCATAGTGTTATTACGAAATCTGTATAAATAATCTCATGTAATTATATTTTTTTTTCAAGAAGATTTCGCGAAATTCACAATAGTTTAATAATCGATGTTGGGTTTTATATTAATATATTATTACTATGCAATCGTCAGTAATAACAATTCTAATATCCTTGCACGATCGTGTTAAATGCGCTCTCGTGCTGCACCACCCTTTGGTCATTTTTATGATTAAATTATACATATATGTTTATTGTTTATAGCAAAAACTAAATTACTTTTTTTATAATTTTGATGTAATGATAAAGTCCCGAATGACCAATAATAGTATATTGCCGTAATTAACCATATATATATTTAAAACATGTTAGTTCATTACATTCAAAACTGTCATTTTAATAACGACACATTTAATAGTCTTTTTTTAAATTTATATGTTTTTATTGTTATGAGACAATATATTAAACTATACAGGAAAAAAAACAAATCATAAAGTTTATTTATGTAATAGAGAAATTATATAAAAGAGATTCTAATTTAGAAAACCATAATTTGTATTACCACCGTATAATCCATAAATAAATATTAACACTTAAAAATATTTCAAGCAAACAATAAATCATTTAAAAATTAAAGAAAAACACACATAATTTATATAATTTAAGCATAAAATTGGGTTGAAAATGGTCAAAAAGTCACGCCTTAGATATAAATTATTAAGAATAATGTACATAATATTATTATATTTACCTCAAGCCAGCGCTAATAATTCCGGAAACGAATAGACCGGTGAGTCCTGGAAACTTCGCGGCTACGTCCATCACATAATACGGCACTAATTTTCTTTCGTTGTCTATGTACTAAAATCATAAATTTGATTTGTTAATTAATAATTAATCACACACATGTTAATAATATAAGAAACACGCATCGTTKTAAACTCAAAAGTTATAACATGCCGATGCGACGTAATGACATAACTGACATTAGCCATCAATGGATCGCAGTCTTTGTATTTGGTGTAGATCAGCATTCCTATAGCACCGGTTAAGACTTTAACGACGGCCATACCGAAAACAAACCAAATCGCAGCACTTCGAGCCTTTGAATAAGTGGGCAATGCTACAAAACGTTGAACGGCTCCTGGATGAATGCCCAGTGATGCGAGCCATTGAAACGTCGTGCCTACGGTAACGGTCCAAAAAGTATTTCTCAAAAACGGATTTGGATCCATCCTAAGTGAATACAATTTAAAATCAGTTCTATACGTAAGTCCCTAYAATTAGCATTAATTACTAAGTAGTTAKACAATTAATAATAAGCAAAGTCAGATGTTGTTTACAAGCCTACAAATCGTAAATATGACYCTGATAGGTAGGTTTTAATGTGATATTATATATAGGTACCTGTTTAAACCGCAAAGACCAATATTTAAATTTAAATTAAATAATTAAAAACAGTTATGTATAATTACTTAAAAAATTCTATTCGGTCTCCTTCTTGATTGGATCTGAACACGTTTCCTATCCCTCCGGCTTGTATAACTCCCAATATGATTACAATTACGATTGAAACGGCTGTGAAAATACTTTGGATCGCATCTGTCCACACAACTGCCTTCAGTCCGCCCTAATATTTGCAATAGAACGATTAAAACATTAAGTTTAAGATCGAACGATTGCATTAATATTTATTATTAGTAATATAGTTAGTAACAAGAATTAAACTTACGATGGTGGTATAAAATATACAAATGACGCAAATGATCACGGTTATTAAATGTACATCAAGACCTGTAACTGTTAATGCAGAAACAACAGTTATTGTTAATATTTACGTATTGATTCAATTATCATTTATGGACTTATGTGTCAAGTAGAACATAAATATATGCCAAAGTAATACAAAAAAATATTGTTGTGTTTATAATACCATGCACTCATTTGAACAAATACAATTTTAAATTTTTCATTTTTTTTTTACCATTCTATTCAAAGTAAAAAACATAAGTTCATAACCTTTTACAAAATGTACTACTTAGTAAAGTGACTTATGATCTATGTATATAGTTTCGTGTTTACTTACCTTGATTGAACGCTAATGCTGGTATGTAGATCACAATAGGGATGTACAGTATTAGCTGTATGGCGAAAATGAGTGACGACAATCCACGGACGTTGGTATCAAATCGTAATCCYAAATACTAAAATTTAAACTAAATTTATATAAATCCATACGTTTGATAGAGTATCAAAAATAAAAAATTGCGTATTGTTGTGAGATTTTAGATTTCATAATAATTAATAACAAAAAAAAACATTTACTTCATATACTGATGTCAACTGAAGATCATAAAAAACAGGTAAATAAATCCATATGACCAAGGCAATTACTACTACGTTATTAACGACACCAACAATTAAGTATTGTGTCCCATTGCTATATATCTCAGATGGAACTCCGAGTAGCGTTATGCCAGAAATGTGACTAAAATATATAAGTAGGTATTAATGATCTTATTTTTTTCTATTTTTATTTTTTTTTCATTTTTTATTTTTTTTACTATCTTAGATAATTATATTTATAATACAAACTTTAAGTAGTAATTATACTCAATGCTATTGAATACTTGTAATATAATGCGTTTACAATCAAATTACTACAGAAACACAATATATTATTATCCGGGCAAATACATATCAAATTAATTAAGGATATTACATTGCAGGTTTGATAATATTTTCTTAAAAATAATTAAAAATCTTTTAATATTAACATGCAGATATAGGATTCAGAGGATGTCAGCGCGATATATATGTTTATTTTCTCTCCAAATCATGATAGTAATATTATATACCTAGCGATCAGTGACATGGTGATCGGAAAGACGGTCATGTGCTTTCCGCCCAACAGGTAATCTGCGACGGTGTTCTGTTTGGAAAAGCATCCATAGTACAGGCCGATGACGATGGACAGCCCGAGCATGATGACGAACGCAGCGTATTCCACCATCCAGTTCAACTGTTCCATTGTTACACAAACTTCCGGTCTCTATATATATGATATAATATACGATATACGATATACAAAATCGGGCATGCGGGCGGAATTAATGCCGGAAACGCAACGCGTCCTTAAAACAATTGTAACGATATTATTATTTCGAGACTATAATATAGGTGCCACCGTTTTGGGCGCACGTCTCGATATGTGAAAACTCGCGTCCTACCTTACCCGAACATCATCGTGTCGTCGTCGTAATCTCCGTACTCTCCGATTGGTCTTTGCAGGCGACGACAGCGTGAACCGTCGAGTAGTATACGGCGTGGTCGCCGTCAATGTCCTCGTGCAACAAATTTCGTCGTCGAGAAATTATGTGACGACGTTGATGCATGTGGACAGAGATCCAATCTTATTTTAAAAGAATTCGATCCCCGTCAGTTTGATGGGTTTACTTGCAAAATATTTATAAATTGTGTAAAATGATAATATTTAATGAAATATATCGATGAAACGATACCATATAATGATCATGAAAAATAACGTCTACCACAATGGCTGTTGTAAAGGTAGATCGTGTGTTGAAGGTAAGGTAAAATAATTTTTTTTTATTTTTTATTCTTTTGAATTTAAATTTATTCAAAAATGTTGTACTAACATTATATAAGTATTAATGCATTAAACACGGCGTATAATGTAATAACTTTAGTAATAAAGTGTTTATAAACCGTCCTGATTACTCTGATTCAAAGATTATTGATTTGTATGATTGACCAAAAATGCATAAGAACAAGTGAAAACAAACACAATGAGGCTCTCCTATATCGTATTTTGAATTGGCTGTATCTCAAAATTCATTGTATCGAAGTAAAAATTTAAACACAGAAGTTCTTAAAAAAATAGTTTTACAATKTGTTGCTATTAAATGAAAGTTTTATCATTTAAAAGTCCAAATTTATCATATAACAAAACATTTAGGGAGATTAATTATTTATAGATTTTATTAAATTTCAAAATTTCCAGAAAAACAAAAATTTCAAAAGTTATAATTTTTCAAATTAATAAGTGTCTTACGTTAAATGGATCACTCTATWTTTCAGTGATGCCCAACCTTTTTTGTTCAGCGTGCCACTTTGGTAAGCAATTAAGTATCTTCAAGCGGGCTACCAAATATATGTATACATATATTTTTTATTTTATTATTATCACAACTATTATAAAATAAATAAATATAATTTTTTTTTAGGATATTTTGTTTATTTAAAAATTTGTAACCGGCCACACAGAATACCTTCGCGGTTAGGACACCAGTACACCACTGCAATGTATTTATTTTTATTTTTTTTTTCATTTTTATACTTTCGAATTTAAATTTTTTCAACAAAAATGTTGTACTAACATTATAGTATTAATGTATTACTCACAGTGCCATACATTGCAAAACTCTCAAGATGGAAGGGTTTTAGTCACGTCATAATAATATAATTTTTATACTGAAATCAGGAGAGATGTATTAAGGACGTATAAATAAACAGTACCTATTGTTTTTAGGGGCTTGTTAAGATTTTGGAAAAAAAGAAAACCAAATTTTTAAAGTACTGCAAGAAACGATAACTATCCTTTTACCTTTAAAAGTTAGAATTATTTTCCTGCAGGCGCAACAGTTACAGTTCAAATATTTTTTCGCTATATGAATTTGTATCAGTCAGACGATTCACGAATGATGTGCGCTAGCCCCTAATCAATTCCATGTTAACGTATACCTCAGTTTCTGTTCAAGTATATTAATCGGCTCACGAATAATGTAAGTGGACAAAAAATATTTCAATAACGTGATGAAGTCGATACACGCATGCTAAATTCATAATTTATATTCATTCATTAATAATTATTAGTATAGATAGACAATATAATTGTACATATAGACATCTATAATACTGTCTAATTTAAACTATATAAATAAATAGAATAGGTACTCGTCTAAACTATATCAGTTAAATACTTGACGGTAAGTGTTATCGTGTTCTATTTTGTTCACTATGAGATTTTTTTTTTATTTACAAACATAATAAATAGCCAAATAGGTACTTATGCGTTAAAAATCGATTTATTTGTTTGATCGAACCTATTACGAAAACAATATCATTACTGACTATAGATGATACAATAATAAATACTATAAAAATACTTGTATAATAATATATTAATATCATAAAGTGTCCTAAACTGTAGGTACGAGTACGTATAGGTAAAATGAGGTAAAATGAGATAAATATAGAGGTGCCTCTGGTACCTACTTACTAAGCTAATAGCTATTTATTTATTAACATAAATCTAAATTTATCTAAGCTGCGATCACTCGTTATAGATATAGGTCACACAATAGGCTATGGACTCTATTATGTTTTATCAAAGCGGTTTCCTTTACGTATAAATCGTCTTATTAAAAAAAAAAATATATATAGGTACATTTACTTTCATATCAACCTTTGAACATTGTTAACAATAATAATAATGTAAACCAAATTAACTACATCTTATATGAAATAGACAATATTATAGTAACTAAACATATTAGGAACATAATCGTACATATTACGAGTCAGTTAAGTATATTTAGGTACTATACATTTTTATAGATATTACATAAGCGTGTTGAATATTAAAGCCCATAGGTGCCTAATTATAATGTGTTACCAAAATTACTCGTATCAAGACGTGTTCTTTGAAGTCCCATGTAATAAACTTTAATAATCTAATATGGTGTTCTTCGATAACGCTTTCATATTATATACGTGACCACCTAGAATAGTAAATGAAATATTGAAATCATTATATTTAGTTCACTTCAACTATTCGTTGCTTATATGGATTTCATCGATTCCGTCAGGTAATTTACCCTATTAAGTGAAAAAGTATATTAAAATATGATCACAAATTATATAAGATAATAATCTGTGACATTATAGTTGGATCTTGAGATATAAATTCTACACTTATTGGGTCCCTGCATGGCCCATAAATGGTACATTATTTAGTTGAAACCTAATCACTTTAGGTATAGTATAAGTATACAGTAACCGTTGTACGCTGCACATAAAATACTTGGTACTTATACATATATGTAAACTAAAGATAAGCATTTCAACTTTCTAGCAATAAATGATAAATGTATTCGAAACTAACGATCGTATTATTCCTGTAATATTTTTATGAGTATCTAATCGTCCCTGTTTCTTATACGAGTGAATTATTTTATATTAATTAGACATTGAGAACAATTATTTAAAAAAGTACCTAATGCTGTAAATTATATTTTAAGCGAAGAATTTTCAATATTATGACATGCTCAATTAATCATTTATACAAATATCTACCTTTTAATGGATATGGTCGAGTTGCACTTATTTTAGTCGAATTGCTCTTATGTTTAAAAAAGATAATCGTCAAACTGTACAAGGTTGAAAATTAGGTATTGGTCGAACTGCATTTGGGCTCAAAAAAAGTATTTTAATAAAATTATTACCATTCATTTAAAGKGGTTAAACATTTAGTAAACACTAATTTTCTTTCCCACTTACAGGCTTAGGACTGACAATGATTTTAATCATTAGCGTGGTTAAAAAATATTATTTTAAATACATTACGTTATGTTAGTTATATACATTATTATAATTATTATATTATACATATTATTATCATAATTTTTTTTTAAATCTTCAAATTTAATTGTCATTATTATAATTTTTTTTTATTTCAATAACTTTTTATAGTACCTAATGACAAACAGTATTAAAAAATGTAGCCTGGCAATTTGCTTTTGAGTATATAATTCAATATTATTTAATTTTTTCTGGTAACGTGTTGTTGATGGTCTTGTATCAATGTTCAGAACACTGTGTTCTGCATTGCAATATAAGTATCCATTTGTAATTGTGTTAAAACATCAAAAAATACATTGAACTTCGCGTGGAAAGACTCGCATGCATTATAGTAGTTCTTAGATTAAAAATCGTACCCGAAGCCCAAATATGAGACGGAAAAAGTATAGCTTTCGAAAACATAAGATTCGTAATATTTTTAAAGGGTTTTCATTATACGCGTACGACTCGTATCAAGTGTTCATGTTTTTTCCATTTAAACTTTTTTTTTTTTTAAACGAGTGCAGTTCCACCACTATCTGAATTTTACTCGAGTGCAGTATTACGACCATTACCTTTTTTCAATGCAAGTGCAATTCGACTATTCAGCTTTTAATAGGGTAGGTTAGCCTCCCCCTGATTCCCTAAATTTTAATAATTTATTGTTTTACATCATCAATATAAAATACATTACCGAAATTGTACAAATATATATATATATATATATATATATGTATGTGTGTGTATAACATATGTGTTAGTATATTACCTACTTGAAATTAAATACATTGTTAAAACAAGTTTCTCATTTCAAACATGTATAAGGCATTTAAACATTATGTTTTTCAGAAAAACATAAAATATTTAGTGACAGAATTAACCATAATTGWCCTTATAAAGGATTCAATCCTTTTTAGTAAGCACATGAGTTACAACAAACTTTAAGATAATCTTGTAATACATTTAAATGTGTAYCTACATTCAAATTATGGTTATCTTAACATTTTCAAAACTAATTTTTTATTTAGCGATAAGTACGAATATAAAGTTTTTTTTTTTAAATTCATTCTTATATTATATAGCTTAAAAGAATTAATATTTCACAATTCACACTTCTAATGGTAGCATTTAAATATCGTAATCTTTAATGATTAGGAATGAATAACTGTTAACTATAGATATATACAGAYATTTACGATTGAAATCACTAATTAGCATGTAAAATAATATAGTATTAGATTTACTATTTAGCATACCTACTATATAGGTACTGAAAATGAAATAAAATCGCTTTATCACAGTAATTTATATCAATATACGTGAAAAGTCTAAAATATAAATGTCAAGAAGAATACATTTTAATATCCAACATTYAAAAATATTCATGATAATATATTGTATATATGTTCATTTTTACTATACGGAAAACTTTTATAGAAAATTGAACCTAACTACTAGTATACTATAGTTATCCATAAAATCACACTAGATTTGKATAAAATATTTAAAAAAGTGTATTTAATGTAAATACTCAAAATTAAAATACTTCATTAAAATATTTTTTTTAATATTGC